ATCGACACAAAGAGACCAAGCAACAAACTGGACCATAAGAAATTAGGACCATTCAAAATCAAACGAGTCAAAGGACCTTTGAATTACGAACTGGCGCTACCAAACACAATGAACATCTTCCCAGTATTCCATATATCCTTACTCGAACCAGCACCACCGGGGGCACCACCAGCCCCAAATACAGAAATACAACCGCTGAACCCTAACGCCGAGTNCGAACACAATGAACATCTTCCCAGTATTCCATATATCCTTACTCGAACCAGCACCACCGGGGGCACCACCAGCCCCAAATACAGAAATACAACCGCTGAACCCTAACGCCGAGTATCAAGTTGAGAAGATACTAGACAGCAAACTTGTTAGAGGCAAAGTCAAGTATTTGATCAAGTGGAAGGACTACCCACAATCCGAGAACACTTGGGAACCGAAAAGCAATCTCAGCTGCCCTGAGCTGCTTGCGAAGTTCCATCAGCAAAATCCGACGACAGCCATCCGGGCCCGTACAGATCCAGGGAAGGATCGAAGACGAAAGGGTCGAAACCGGGGTCTGCAGGCGGGGTAGGCTGGTCCAGGAGCTTCTCCACGGCCGCCTCCCTTTCTTCCTGCTCTCTTTTCTCTTCCGCTTCTTTCGCTTCCTTCTCTTCTTGTTCCTCCAGTTCTTGCATCGAGTTGAGGCCAGACCGGATCAATCGCTTTTCTTTCTCTTCGAGCAGTTTCTCCTGCTTGCTGAGACGAAGAATCTTCGCCATCGCCGCGTCACGCTCATCGCGGATCCTGGCCTTCTGACGGTCGATGGACTCCCAGTCTGAGAGGGTAGGCATCTGGTTTACTTCTCTAACATCGCAAGGTTTCCTTTGTCGAGTACACTCTGCGCATTTCAGTGCAGACGGCTCTTTACTCCCAGTCTGAGAGGGTAGGCATCTGGTTTACTTCTCTAACATCGCAAGGTTTCCTTTGTCGAGTACACTCTGCGCATTTCAGTGCAGACGGCTCTTCGTTACTCTCCCTGGGAAGAGCAACACAACGACGTCCAGAGCGGACACAACGAGTACATTTGGCCATTTCGTCACCGTGGATATCAATTCGTTTTGCAAGTTCTTGCCAACGCTTGTGATTGGAGGCTCAGGACGTGGTCATGATGAAAAGAGGAAAGGCCGCTGGCCTTCTGACGATATTTCCTAGGTTGTACTTAAGCGTGAGGGCACGCTAGGCTAAGAAGGGGATAGTGTCACGATGTTACTCTCCCTGGGAAGAGCAACACAACGACGTCCAGAGCGGACACAACGAGTACATTTGGCCATTTCGTCACCGTGGATATCAATTCGTTTTGCAAGTTCTTGCCAACGCTTGTGATTGGAGGCTCGGGACGTGGTCATGATGAAAAGAGGAAGGCCGCTGGCCTTCTGACGATATTTCCTAGGTTGTACTTAAGCGTGAGGGCACGCTAGGCTAAGAAGGGGATAGTGTCACGANGGACACAACGAGTACATTTGGCCATTTCGTCACCGTGGATATCAATTCGTTTTGCAAGTTCTTGCCAACGCTTGTGATTGGAGGCTCGGGACGTGGTCATGATGAAAAGAGGAAGGCCGCTGGCCTTCTGACGATATTTCCTAGGTTGTACTTAAGCGTGAGGGCACGCTAGGCTAAGAAGGGGATAGTGTCACGAATCACGTGCACACGTGACAAGTGAAGACCAGACGGCGTCATGACAAGCCGAGCACATATGGGCCTGGGAGCTTTATGTGTTCTGGGAAACCAAAGGGAGTTTTCTTATGTAAGCAGGAGCCGTTAATTGGTTGGATAATGGATGTATACCTTTACCAACGTGTTGGTCACGTGATGGTCGACTGGTCGACTCGTCGACCTGTCGACCTGGTCGACAGAGTTGGTTGTCGACCAACATTCCTTAGTAGTAATATTCTGAGAACGAAGGTTCTATATAAGACTGGCACGTCTGCCATTAGATAGGAGCTTCGTGCTCAACTTAGTTATCAATCTTATCATATTAGTTTGACATCTTTGATACAAGTAACGAGTTCACTTCCAAGTGAACAACCCGATAGTCTTCTTCTTATCATAGCATACCAACCAGCGAACACCCAGCCAAGTTTAGTTAGCCAGTTTGAGTATTCGTTACACATTGGCGATCAACTGAGCAATGCTGAGCTGGATCAGTGGGATCAGGGTGATCATAATGATCAACGAGCAAGAAGGTTCTATATAAGACTGGCACGTCTGCCTTTAGATAGGAGCTTCGTGCTCAACTTAGTTATCGATCTTATCATATTAGTTTGACATCTGTGATACAAGTAACGAGTTCACTTCCAAGTGAACAACCCGATAGTCTTCTTCTTATCATAGCATACCAACCAGCGAACACCCGGCCAAGTTTAGTTAGCCAGTTTGAGTATTCGTTACATCTATCTACTAGCTAATTTTAGAACTAATTTCTTTTATATTTATAAGATAGATTAATTATACCTACGTACTTCCTAAACACCTCAAACTACTAATATAAGGATACGAATATTAGTATAGGATAATAGATACTAGCGTAGTAGAGATTAGAATAGCTCCTATAATTATTACGCCGTCTAGTAGCGTATCTAGTTCTACTAGTATCTTCTATAGATAGCCTAAAAGAATAACCCCATATTTCGACCTAATCCATAAATACCTTAACCTAGGCGTCGGTATATTAGTTTTAGTAGAAGAGTTAAGAACTCCTTAAAAGTAAGGATTTAATATCTATAATAATCTATAGAATAGATAAATATCTTATAGAGTTTATAAAGGAACTAAGTAAATAGTACTAGGTTCCTTAGAATAGCGTAAGATCTAGAGGCTTATATAAATTATTATCTAATTGACTCTATAAAAGTAATTCTTAAAGTAGCCTCGAGCTCTTTATCTTATATCCTCTCCTTATTCTATCTTTTATACCTAATCCTTTAGAAAACCCCTTAAATCCGCTATAGGATAATCCTTTATATTTATAGTAATAATAAATCAAGGTTTTAAGGTCCTTAAACGTCTCTTTAATTAGATTGAACTAAGGGTAATATAGTAGTAAATACTAAATAGTAATACTATATCTAGTATATATATCTACTACTCGATTATTATAGTATATAGAGTAATTATCTATTATAATAATATCTCGATTACCCTCCTACCTATTATAAAGTAGTAGTATCTTATACTCTAGCTAGTCCTTAAATATCTCTACGGTTATTATTTCCTAAAAGATTAAAGGTTTAACCTATTTATTAATTATATATACTAGTAAAATACTCTAAACGCGCGATCTCTTTAACTTTTACTTCGAATCCGCTCTTACTCTAATTAGAGCGTACCTATATTATTATTAACCTATTACTTTATTTAAGGCCGATTTATTAAGGAATATAAGATGTTTAGAGTCTTATTCGTATAATTTATCCCTCTAAGCTTATATTAACTCGATCTCTTTGTCACGAATCACGTGTTGGCATGTGATAAGCAAAGACCAGGCGGCGTCCTGACATGTTAAGCACCAGCAACACACTCTTATAGCGAATAGGGATGCTTAGGCTAGCTAAGCGATCCAGGGATTTCATCTGATAGAAGTCATGTGACCGTTATTGATCATTGGTGATCAACTGAGCAACGCTGAGCTGGATCAGTGGGATCAGGGTGATCATAATGATCAACGAGCAAGAAGGTTCTATATAAGACTGGCACGTCTGCCATTAGATAGGAGCTTCGTGCTCAACTTAGTTATCAATCTTATCATATTAGTTTGACATCTTTGATACAAGTAACGAGTTCACTTCCAAGTGAACAGCCCGATAGTCTTCTTCTTATCATAGCATACCAACCAGCGAACACCCAGCCAAGTTTAGTTAGCCAGTTTGAGTATTCGTTACAGTAGGATAATAACCTAGCTTCAACTTAAGGATATAGAGTAAGAGCCGCCTCTTCTTTTATCTCCGCTTTAATATTATAAAGGGATATATTACTATATTTAAAGTAGAAGGCGATATTACTATAATCGAGCTTCTTAAAATAGAGGCGATATTAATAAATAGCGGATTTTATTATAGATTATCGAATAAGTTAGCTTTAATTCAAGGGGCTATAATTACTTTAAACTTTAAGTAATATAGATAGAATATATATCTTTTAGTAGTAGTTTAAGAATTAACGATTTTATAAGATTTCGCGCTAGCGCTCTTTTTTAGTAGTTAGGCTACTAAAAAAGCACGGATTACAGAAAATCCCGGAAAATTAAGCTTAATTCGCAACTAACTGTAAAACGAATAGAAATTTTGTAAAGGGATTTTCTAGTACTATTCTTTGCTACGACTTCCTTACGCTATGGTGAGAGAGAGGTCAGAATTTTGCTCAAGGAAATGATGTCAGTGGTAAGTGGCTTTGCATTTCGCTGAAGTTTGACGGACTGGTGCCTGGATTTTCTTCCTTCCCGTGTTTCTTTTTTTTGTTGTGGTGTGAAATATGAAACCGCATGAGTATGATGGAAAACTGTGCTGTGGTTTTGTTGCGTAGAAAGGAGATAGAGGTTGTAGTGAAGTGAGCTGAGATATTCATCGCGATAGCTGTATCCTGTATCGTGGTGGAAATCTTTTTCGGGGTTTTCATTTGTTGGTGTAGGATTTTTGTGAATTGAGAGGGTGTGATGGAGATTTGGGAAGGGTGCTTCATGTTCCTTAGAATGGCTCCTTAGAATTCTCCAAGCAAGTGTCCTCAAGCTTGCTCGCCAGATGATTCTTTGGAAACCCATGGCAGATCTTTGTCCTCTATTTTGGCCGAGTACAGGTTGTGCTTATGTCTGTTATCTTCTAGGGAATCGAGATCTTCGATTTCTATATCCCTTACCAATATAGAATTGTTCTGCACAATAGAGTGCAAGTCCTCGTGGAACGAGGATGTAAGTTCAGGAGTATGGGACAACGATTCTTGCTCCAGATGGCGCAAGAAATCGACTTTTCCATAATTGCGTGTGTACCACCCATCTAAATTCGGGAAAACACGATCAAGACACTTCCGAACCTCTTTCTGCTCCTTGTCTTGACCTGTGTGACTTGCGCTAAATATATTCCAGACAAGTCGCTCAGCAGTCTCGACCAAACGCTGATGTGCCATCTTCACAGTTTGCTTGAGCTCGGGGTCCTCCAATTGATCGAAAACAGGGTCTTCATAGGGAGCCGCAAGAAAGATGACACAGTCTTTGAACAAGACCGCATGCTTGAGTTTAGCAGCCAATGGTAGTAATCGGAGAGATTCGAATTACACGAGCTCTGTGAACTGAGGGCATCGATGGAAGAGGCCATCGAGTGATCGCGATACAGCTGGAAGCGCGAGATAATAGTCTGCAAGGTCGACTAGGACATGAAATCTAGCAACATTGTTCACGTAGTAAGGCTCGCCATATATCGCAGAGAGCAGGCTTGCGAATGCCCAAATCTGCCTGTGCTTGTCTCCCGTGAATGTAGATAGATCTGGGATTCCCTGAAGATGAAGTGTCAGCATTTTGATCAGCACCTCCATGAAAGGTTCGCAAGTATATTGGACTCTTTCTCGTCTTGAAAAGATGGCTGGAATTCTTCAAGGGGAACTTACATTAGGATACGCAGAGGAATCTTCCAAACACCAACCAGCACCTCCTTCATCCACCACAGTAATCCATTCATACTTGAAGCTGCCTTGCGGCAATTCAGGCCGAGGAGGCTTGTTCGAAGGATCGAGAAACTTTCGGAAGTAGCCAGAGTAGAGCTTAATCATCGCGGAATGGACATGGAACTCGGCTTCAAATACTTTGATTTTCATATCTGGTGGATCTATGATTCCTGAGGCCGAACCGAGGACCATTGGTTTTATAGTCGCTGGGTGACTGGTCTTGACTTTTTTCTTTGTTGGTGGCATTGTGATGTTTTGGTCGGAGATTTGGCTTTTGTAAGGTGTGGTGTTGTGTGATATGGATGTCGTGGGTATCGTGGAGGTTGAAAAGGTGACTGGGGAAGAGTTGGAGGTTTTTTGTAGTAGTGCGGGGCTCTGAAAGGTGAAGATGGCTTCAAGTACGTATAGCGAGGCAGACCAAAAGTGGGTCCAACGTGAAGGTAGTAATGATATTGATGGTGAATTTATACACTGCTCACTTTTCCCTAACACAGTTGTAGGTTCATGATTACAGAGTGCTCTAGAACTGCAACCAAAATGCTTTTCCGGAGCAAGAGCTCAACCATTCCCGAGGAAAAAGACGAAACAATTAGATCTAGCATTCATTTCCTACCTTCCAAAAGAGGTGTACTCATAACTCTATATACACTTCAAGGAATCATTATACTAAACGCCTGGTATAAATCCTTTGATGTCGAAGCATACCCAGTTCAGTAAAAAGTGAAAAGTAGCGATTATCTCGAGGACTTGCATGGCTAGTCCAATTGAACGCGGCTTTTGAGATACGTTTGTTCTGACATAGGTGTGTAGTATATAGAAGAATGACTAAGTCTCTGACGCCTAGATCCTCTGTATCGAGCTTTAAGCATAGTTTCTTTTATCCGTATCACTGTTCAAAACTTGTTCCCCTTCCTTATGCATTTTGTTATTGTATTGAATTTTCTGTATTAGGGAAGAAGGCTAAGCTATCATTTTATCACCAAGCCCCGGCTTCTCTTGCTCACATCAGAGATGGAATCAAATCCCTTTAGATTCCTTCATGGAAATGCTGAATGTGAATTTTCAATAGCCGGTACGAGTTGGCGACGACAAAATATGTGAATCTTTTGGGGCCGTGGTAAAAGTGGCAATGTGTGGAACGTGTCGTGTTTTGCGTGAGCTGCTGAAATAGATGAAATTGTACTTTTGTGCTTGAAGAAGATTTTTTTATTTGGATGTTAGACTTTTTGATGGCGGGCTTGTGATGGGTTCGAGGTCGGTTGAAGTCGTGAGAAGAGTCTGTGGTGTTTTGGGACGCAAGGAAGATGATATAGAGGATGTAGACTTCGAAATCTGGTGACTCGAAGAGGCTGTTAGACCAAGAAATAGAATAGAATCCCAATCAAAATGGTCTACTTGACACCAAAGCCACCGTGCAATCCGTTAGAGTCAAAATCCATCTTTTTCCGTGTCCCATGGAATAAGATCGTCATCGATTAGGCCGCAATAATAGTTATCGTCGTCTGCTTCCAGATCCGGGCAAAGAGCAGAGTGATTGGGAAAACACGGTCAAAAAGTGCACAACGAGACCAGGAATCTTTCTCACTGTTAAGAATTTTGAGTTTTCTGAAAGGCTTGCTGGCAGGAGCTTTGGATCTTCTCCTCTCTGTGCTGTTCGAATAGCTTCTTCCAGGGTATTGAGAGTTATTCTGTTAGGACTTGTAACCGAGGTGTTTTTTGGAAATGGCACCAATTACAGTCAAAAACACTTGAACCAAATCTGAAGTCACCTTGTTGTAAGCCGTTTTCACAATCGCTTTCAACTTGGGGTCTTCCAACTGATTCAGTTTTGGATCTGAGTAAGGATTGCAGAGAAATATACAGCACTCCTTGAATAGAAGCTTATGTTTTAGTTTCAGCGCCAGAGGCAGAATGGAGACACAGTCTTGTGGAATCGACCTTTTAAAGAAGCTCCAAGGGTGGGTCAATTGTATATAGTTGATCGACCTGGAGACTTCCGGCAGTGCGAGGTAGTAATCCGCGAGCTCCACTAAATTTGAAAGTTGTTGGACCGAGAACAGATCGCATTGCTTTCGATTGAGAACACATAGGAGTTTTTGGAATCCCAGTATGTCTTCTGCTTGCTGGATTTTCGTTACTTTAATTCTCTTTGCATTTGGAGACCGCTGCGTCAAATTAGCTCACATCCATATAAAATGAGTTGCCAGTCAGGGCTTACTGGAGTATAATTCGCCAGGTCCGTCAAACAGTACGACTGGCCGTCATCATCAACCTGTGTGACCCATTCATATTTGAGCCGCTTGGACCCAAATGGCACTTCTGGTTTTGGGGGTTTGTTTGCGGGTTCAAGAAATTTGGCAAAGAATGCTGAGTAAAATTTCAGGACTGGACTGTAGACGTGAAATTCAGTGCCAAAGAGCTCAATTCGCATATCAGGTGCTTCTCCTTGAGGGCCTTGGAAGAAATTTTGAGGTCTGGGACCTTTGGGAAGGACGGCTATGGGATTGACGCGCTTCGAGGGAGTGACCTTTGGTTTCTTTGCCCGTCCCATTTTGGGAGGTTGGGGTAATGTGAGTTGTTTGGAGTTGGAAAAGCAATGTTGAGAACGGGAGATGGTGTTGAGAATAGAGTTCTAAGGTCCGATGGAAGATAAAAGAATGTCGAGATATTGAGCGATGGATAGAGCTGTAGAGGTGAGGTGAAAGTAGTGATAGGATAGATCAACTTGGATTATTGCCTCAAGATTCTCTGTTTTGAGGTGTTTTGTGGTTGATCTGAGGAAAGATTGTTAGCAAAGGATATCCAGCAATTGTTATATAGCAAGAAGCTGAGAAACTCGCACTTACTTCACCTTTGAGATTCACCTATAGTAACTAATTTGGCAGGCATTACAGGGACTACCAAGGTTGGTGTAAAAACCAGAATGTCATATTATTGATTGTATCAAATGCAAAAATGAACCCTTTTGTGTTGTAATCTTCGTAGAGTGAAAAAAGTCACGATGTTCGTTCTTTCCTCTGAGTTCAGTTTGGGTTTAAATAGCAGGGGTTTATAGTGAATGATGAAGATATGCTGACTCAGCCAGGGAGGGGATATATTCCCCTCAAGGGCATGTCGTAATTCCTCCATCAACACCACCACCTTATTGTACGTTTGGGTTTAAATTCGCTATATCATTGGAAGTCCTTTTGGCGTAGCATTGATTTTGGAAGCAACGAATTACGCGAGCCAGACACGCAGTCAGTACAATCCCCTATCCAAGATATTTCAATCAATGAGATCTCTTTAACACCTAGAATAAAATAATTACTTAAGTTATAACGTTGTTATCCCTTGCTCGGTAACAAGCACACTACCGGTTGGCAGAACGTCCTAATTAGCTTTGGCCACTTGTATCCTACCAGTTTGATTACTGAGTAAGGAGCATTTGACCAATGTGTATGCTACGACGTATTGCTCGTTGCGAGCTAAAAATAAAAAGTTTCCTTCTTGCTTATTTCCGTTCCTAAGCAAGTCACTGAGATGATTTTGCCGTGGATTTTTATAATTACAAAAGTCCGAGAGTAATCTGAGGGTAAGCGTAGGTTCGTACTAAATAGTGGACGATATCTGTGCTAAAAACACTATTATAACTTATGGAGACAGGAGAGGACCGAGTGTTGTTAAATATAAAAAGACCCAATTTTGTAAAAACCGACATATTATAATGAATTGAAGTGTTTTTGGTAACCGTGCTACACATTTAGAGACCTCGTATTTGGACTTGCTTTTGAATAGACACCTCGCACTCGATTTGCGTTTGAATGCTCGTCATATTAAAGATGTGATACAAATCTTATAGCTTATTTTATAATAAATCGTTTATAACTCGTTTATAAATTAAGGTTGCAAAACACCTACAGAAGTTGTAAACTTAGTTATATGCACACTAACAAACGTTGTTTATATTGTAAAAAACCCACGGCAAAATCACTCTATAAGACTACTTTGATTATACTTTACTCGCAAAATTTTGGTTGCACATTTTCATTTCACGATCCTTGGTAATGTATACCCTTTGAAACGTGTATAGTCTCACATCTTCAGTACTAACCATACTAGGTCTAGCTCGCCTCCCCCGCAAAACTTGCCGTACCTTAAACCAACCGCTCACCCATGAGGACAACTTTCCAATACTCCAACCTTCCTCAACATCATTAATATCACTATAGAGCTTTCATCAAACATCGGTATGCCACGAAAAAAGAAGCAAAAAACCAAAGAAAGCCCTAAAAAGACCCCTATAACCTTTCAAGCCCCGGGTTTACAACCCGATATCCGTCTAAAGGTCTTCGACGACGAATTCATTGCACACAGTCTGATGTTGAAACTCTATTCGGCCTTTTTTCGCAAGTTTTTGGATTCTTCGGACAAGCAACCCAATCACGATGTTCAGGCTCATGATCGCTCCGGAGGCATGGATAGTCACGTGAGCAATGGCACGTTTAAGTACGAATGGGTTACGGAGATTAATGATGATGGTACCTGGTCCTTGGTTGCAGCATCAAATGCGAGTCAAGTATGTTCTACTCCTCATCTTTTGTCTCACGACCTTGAGATATTGGAAATATTTTCCCGTGGGAAGGATAGCTAATTTTGATATATGACAGAACAATCCGGACTTCTCAGCATACAAGGGTGACAAGAAGAAAGATCCTTTCGCTTTTGAGAGACTTTTATGTACTATGTACATGAAACCTTACGAGATCCAAGATTGCGAGGATCTAAAATCTATAGTGGACCTCTCCGATTATTACTGTGCTCTCCAGTGGTGTCCGTAGTTTAGGGTCTGTCCTACTCCAAAGTCGAGGCTTTATTGAAAATATCCCGGAGGATTGTGTTGAAATACATGAACTGGCTGTAAAACTTCGCCATGAAGCACTTTATAGAGACAGCCTTATGTCTATCATTGGATGCATTAGATCACCAAAATACGATTGGCTTAAGGCACCCCTCGCGGAGAACGCGGAAAACAGATATAACGCGTTAGTGTCCTATATCCTTCAGGTTGAACAGCTACTGGTGCGACAGCTATTATTTGCCGAAGGTCATAAGTCTGGCAAGATGCTTAGAACGTTAAAGAACGCAAAGCTTAAGGATAACGATGTTGATGAACCATACCAGACGAGTGTATACTTCAGGAGAATATCCAACTGCGGCTTGGAAGGGGGGTTTTCCCAAATCTCTCTTGATGTCGTCAATATAGCCCTTGACAATTCCACCACCTTAGCACAACACGTGCAAGTCGGACATATCTGTTGGGAAGCAACCGAATGCGAATTTTTTCTCCGTGCAGGGAGATTTACTAGGGCCCTCCCATGGGATTCAGGGGAAGTAGACTGGTAAAATGCGGTTGCTCTGTTGCTTCAACGCCCAATATTTGATGATTTATTTGTTTATACGACCAGTCTTTGTTGTTTTTCTCAGAGTGTGTACAGTAGTTCAATCGGCTTGTCTATGTAGTGGTGCGCTTACAAAGTTGTTCTGAGGATGGATCCTAGCTTGGAGGATCGTTAAATGTTCTAATAACAGTTACAATTATTCATCAGAGGCCCATGGGTATTACAAAATTTAGGAAATTTAGTTTCCCCTCGCGCCTCTTCAATGATACTTCTTGCTACCCAAAAGATTTATGTAATTAGCGTTAGCAGTTATCTCATGTTTTATAATAAAAACCGTAGAAAATATAACTGTTCTTAAACAATGTTGAAGCCCATGGGACTTGTAACTCCAGCCACAACATTTCAAGCTATTGCTGTCATCTAAAGGGGGAAGGTACGGTATCCCGAATCTACTACTAAACTAGATGATTTAATCGTAAATCTTGAATCGTAAATACTCTATTTCAAGGTTATTTTATAGGAAATCGCAAGTCGTAAATCGTAAACTAGCTTAGGTTATACCAGCGCTGAAATTAAAGGTAAAACCACTCGATATAAGTAAATAAGCTTAGATATGACTCAAACGCCCCTTTTCTCTCCCCCCTCCCTTCTCCCCCCTCACCACCCCTCCCTGCCCTTTCGTATGTTTCGTTATAACCCTCCGCCTACATCTTGTACCCCCCGGCAAACATATACCCCCTATCCCTTCTTATTATTACTATCTCTATAGCTTTATTAGTCGCAAAGGGTTGTCGCAAAGGGTTGCCGGAAAGAAAGAGAAGAGACAGTAGGAGGGAGAGAGCGAGGAAAGGAGGGTAGTAAACAATTGTTAGCGTAACACGTACTAGCCTAGCCGTTTTAGGAAGGTAGTATCCGGGGCTAGGAATAAGCGACACACAACTAAAATATTTCCCCGCTTCTGTCGCTCTCTCTCTCTCTCTTATACAAAATACTAGGGCACAACCCTATCCGACAGCGAGGGTAGGCGACAGCGAGGGTAGTGAGGATATAACAGTAAGGATACGACGGTCAGTAAGGATGCGACAGTAAGGATATGACAGTAAGCATGCGACAGTAAGCATACGATAGTGAGGGTGCGACAGTAAGTAGAGAGTTTACATAATCAGGCCCTTATATTAAGTACGTAGGGTGTAGGGGTATAGGCACTCTAGCACGGTAGTAGTATGTATAACTTTTACGATTTACGATTTACGATTAAGTCATCTAGTTTAGCAGTAGATTCGGGATGCCGTAGAAGGAGAATTAAATTTCAAGGTAGACGTTCGGAAATATAGTAATTAACTTTCTTTCTATTTGAATCCAGGTCTGTTTGAATCATGTTACCTTTACTACGGCTGACACACAGCCTTTTCCAGAAAGATTTCTTCACATCCAAGACTTAATATGTCAAAATTTCCTTCACTATTAAGCGACTCCCTAAGCCTCTCCCAAGGCCTTTTCACATTTTTTTAACTTCCTTAAAAGGTTTTCAACTAATCTCTTTATTCTGTATAATAAGCCAGGTATTTCTTGTAGCATTAAAATATGCTTTTTGGAAAGAATTCAAGCTACTTCTGTCAAGAGTTTTCACTTCCTTATCCCTTCCATACGACAAAGAGGCCATAAAAACGTGCACCCAAAATGGAGACAAGTGGATAGGATAACTGGGTCAAATTGAGGCTAAAATGCTTGGAAACGCGGCCTGGTTAGCTAAATAACTTGGTTTTATAGAGAAAATGTCGTCAAAGTGGACACTTTTACTCCACTTAGAAGTGCACGTTTTTTTCGGCCCCTTTATCGTATGGAAGGGATAAAAAATAGACTCGAGGATGTCTACGCGCCTACTTAATATCAACACCTATGAGTATTCCTTAACAAAAACAAATTCTAACGTATTGTATAAAGTACTTCGGTTATCATAGTCCTCTTCCAGAGGTGATATCAGAATTTGCTTCTAACAATCAGCGATTTACAGTCTTCCCATCTTATTCCATATAGCCTCCTACAACCCAGCATCATCTCTACTACCATTATCAAAGCGCCATGTACTGGGTACAAAATGTAATAACCAATATTCTCTATAGGCCTAGAACAAAGCCGCATCGAAGAATATCGACATCCCATCACCATCATCCAAGACAGCAATTCCATAACATCCATCACCATTAACAAAACAGGAAACAATACTACGATCACTAGTCCCAACTGCTTGTAGCCGTCACCGAATCACCATCCTGAATCCCAATACACCCGCTACACCAGTAACCTCTTTGATCTACCCCTACCTTTCCTATTCCATTTTAAAAGGTTATATAGAACTACACTAAATATATGTCCCCAAGTACATGCAGACAACCCACATTCTATCGACTTACTTTCATACTAACATTCCACTACCTACCCATTAAGCAGATTTCCCAATCGGCGAAGTCGTGGTATAATATAGGTTAATTAATAATATCATAGTAAATATTTACAATAATAAAGCTTGTCTTTTGTGTTATAAACATTAGAAACAAAGAAATGTGTTATACTAGAGTATATTAAGAATAATATTATAGGTTGTCTATAACAACGGTTTAGGAACTTAACAAGGCCTCTTCTTATATAATAATTCTGTTTAAGGGTTTAATTAGTTAGACCCCACGCCCCCTACCTATTCCTCTCCCCATGACTCCCTTGGTAGTTATATGGAATCAATTTATTAGCTGTGAGATGAAAAGGTTGAGATACTTTATTGAGTAGCTATCCAGTAACTATCCTCTCCCCCCTCCCCTCTCTCTCTCTCTCAAATCCCCAACACCACAACAAGCCCAAGTATCCCCTCCACTCCACTACTATACAGCCCAAAAACATCCACTTCCAAAATAACTTCAAGCTTTTCAAAAAAGAAAATCCAACTTCCCCCCATCCATCCAAGTCCCCAACCAACCCCCCCAGACAAACCCCCCCAGACAAACTTCCCCTTTTCATACAACAAAGCACCTCATTCCACCTTCCAAATCTATACAACATACCCCTGTAATTAAATCATCACACACCTCATATCATTAAACCCCTCACCTCACCTCATATCACCTCATATCAACACAACATAAGACAACACATCCCATTCACGCCCACGACGTCTCCTCTCATGGGGTGGGTCTTGTATTTCTATTTTTCTTTATTATAGAGTAAATATATTAAATATATAAAATATTTCGCTACCCTACCGTACTATAGAAAGCGTTAGCTAACTAGCTAATACAAGTACCTAATGTCTACCTATTATTCTATTTGAGCTATTTACCTTACCTTACCTTATTAAAGTTAACGTTATATAACTTTCATTCACCCTCTCACCCCTAAAAAGATTTAGCTACTAACTGTCGCACCCACCCATCCATTTATCTAATCTAACACAACACAACACAAAACACAAAACACATAAACAAAACCCCAGTACAAAAGAACATACAACTTTCCACCTCTCCACCTCTCCACCTCCACCATCCCCCTCCCCACTCCCCCCCATCACACCCCACACCACACAACCCCCCTTCCATAAACCCAAGATCCTTCTATTCCTTCATACCATAATACGTATCACAAAAAAAAAAGAAGTATGATATATTCCCACACGGTATATAAATCAAAGAAACCCATTTATTTAATTCAAACCAAAATAACAACAACAACATCAACACCTCTCAACACCAAGGACCATTGCCTTCCTCCTTCCCTCCTTCCCTCCCTCCCTATCTAGCGATCTAGCTACAGTAAAATATACCAAAAGTCACCCTCTAACAAACATCCTTCAAACCCCAATAACCCCACCAAAGAAAGATACAATTTACTTTCAACAATCAAACCAAAACCACCAACTTTCACAGTTCACTCCACTCAACTCCACCCCACACCACACCACCACCTCCAAATATCCCAACCATCATCTATCTAGTCTTACAAGCACAGACAACACTCAACTCTACCTCATCGAGAAGTAATATTCTGTTCCATATTCTGTATTGTATCATATTCTCCCATCTATGTATGTTCAAGCTAACCACATCGATATCCTATCCCCTAAAAACAACCCAAAATATAGACATGAAATACCACCACCCATCCACCCACCACAAATCCCCAATACCCAAAAAGAATAATACAAACGCCCACACCCCGCTAAATGATTGATCAAAAAAATGTTCCGTGTTCCACCCCTTCCCACCCCCGAAGAATTCATTGTTCGTGGCGCTCGTTCCATGCATGACACCCCCGAATCGTACCATCCAAGGTTGTAAATCCATCATCACGTCTCGGCGTTCATGTCTATATCCCAATCCGCCTCTAGTCCTGAAATCACCTCAACCCCTTTCCCCCCTTACTAACTTCGAAAACAACCCCACTCCTTCGACCGATGCCCATGCCCATCGATCCCATCCCCCTCCTCCCACCCCTCCTACCAGTCAGCCCCATCCCCATACCCATCCCCATTCGCATCGCTCCAACACCAACCCTCTTCTCAATGCCCCCTGTCCATCCTTTCCCCTCCTTCGCTCTCACACCTCCAACCTTCTCGATACCTCCGCCCTCAAGCCATCGCCCCAGATTCTTACACTGCGAGACATCGAACCACTCCAGCATTCGACATCCTTCCACCACAGCTTCAACACCAACACCCGTGACACGCACACAGCCCCGTACACTCAGGTGTCTGAGTTCCAGGAGATGAAGCCCGATGGATCTCAGGGAGGAGTCTGAGACGGCGGAGCCACAGAAGGAAAGTTTGAGGGAAGAGAGGTGCGGGCAGCCGAGGGAAAGGACTTCAGTTGCGGTGTCGGAGAGGGCGCAACAGAAGGACTGATCGAAAATTAATGGAAGAAAAGATGATGAGAAGGGAAAAACATACCAGATCCAATTCCCTCAGCCCTTTAGCTGCATTGGTGAGATACACAATAGCATTATCAGTCAGATAAGTACAATCCGCCAAGATCAATCTCTCCAATCTGTCAAATCGATAAATACTCCAATGTTGAAAGCCACCATCTGTGATTGTAGTACATCTCGTAAGATCCATACTCTCAAGTCTACTATGAGCATGAACCGCCAGATGCGCCATCGAGCGATCAGTCACATGTTTGCAATAACTCAGTGTAAGACGTTTGAGTTTGGGACAACCGACAACTGTACCAGGGGGTGGAATGACAGCTGTCGATTTCGCACGGGAATTAGATGACTGAGCAGGAGTATTGGGTTCAGTGACTACCCAACCTACGATACGCGCGAGAAGATTATCAGAGACTTTTCGACAATTCGAGAGGTCAATTTCTTCCAGAAGTTTTGCGTTATTTGCCATTTCCAATACAGCATTTGCCGAAATATCCCACACACTCTTCATTTTCCACGATTGAATTGTGCCTCCACAATTATTCGAAAGATAACTGAAACCTTCATCTGTGACATGAAAGCAATTACTGAGATCAATGGTCTTTGCTCGACGACCGATGAATGGACAAATAACGTCAATGAGTGCTCTGTTGGTGACTCGTCGGTTATAAAGAGAAAGATCAACATGATGGCAGACATCCAGGGAACTGGTAAGAAGTTTACCCCAATGTAACGAGACGAGGCGGGTTTTCATGAGTTGGTAGATGTCCAAATGTGAAAAAACAATGGTCAAAACTCCATCTGGGAGAATTCCTTGATTGTATTGGCTCGGTCTTCGCTGAACTGTTTTCGGTCTTTTCGGTCGATTGGAATCTGGTGGCGTGACTGCATGTGTGGGTGCTCTTGAAGGTGTTGGGGTTTGAGCTCTGGACCTTGTCCTTGGACCAGGTTTATTATTCTTTTCTTCTGGAGGTGGCGTATCTGGAGGTGGTGGTGCAAATGAGCCCCTCCTTGCTGATCTTGCTCTCATGTTATCCATATCAACACTGAGAAATGGATCTGGATCCAGCGGCTCCATAATGTCTTTATCTTCAACACGACTTGGCTTATGGGGACTAGCTGGTTTCGAAGGCGTAAACGTCACTTGAGGAAGAGATCCACGTCGTGAAGTTGCCGTTCCATCCTCAAGTTCCAACTTTTTGATGGCTGGTGATTCAACATCAACCATTTGGACGTCCTCTGATTCCGCCGTAGCAATTCGAGTTTTGGCAGTCGCCTCAACTTGGTTCCGTATATCAGGAGAACATCGTCTCCAGAGCTCTTGAAGAATTTCCCCATTGATCATCAGACATTCAACGGTAGTGATGGATCGAACTGTAGCTGTCCTCGTCGGAGCCAATGCCAAGCTTGCAACTTCTCCAAAATATTGTCCCTGTTTCAGTCGAGGTCGAATGTACGAATTCTGCTCTTGTGTGGGACTATCCGGGCTGCCTGTACTTTCATGAATAACTTCTGCTTCCCCTCGTACAATAAAATAAATTTCGTTCCCTGAGGAACCTTGCAGGATAATATCAGTAAATGGTGGATAAGTTTTTGGAATGGCGCTCAATCCAAGAAAATGTAGAATCTCGGGTGGCAAATTTGAAAATAATGGTAAATCTTTTAACGTTTTTCGAACATTGACGAAGCCGCTTCCCAACGCACTTCCAGCAGCTAGATCCTCGATTCCTTGTGGACTTGGCGATTTTCGTTTCTTCTTGTTTATCACCACTCCATTGTCAATGTATCCAACATCCCCAGTAGAAACCTCTCCTGGTGCCGGCTCCCGTGCAAGTTTTGACCCTCTGGAAGGCAACTCGGTAGAAGAGACAATTTTGGGACCAAAACCACTCTCCTTTCTTTTTTTGTTGAGTATCGTAAGTCGCTCTTGTGCCTCTTCCATTATTGCCTTTTCCATCTGTGGAAAGTTGGGGAGCTCCAATCTCAAATCCTCTTTCTTCAACACAACCAAGAGACATTTTGTTCTCGCTATGATGGTTGCCGTACGAGGCACATCCATCAAGATACCAATCTCTCCAAAAAATGCTCCCGGCTTCAATTCAGCGTATGTAGCTTCTCCGTCCCTTGACGTCACTGCCACGGCGCCCCGCACTAGCCAGTACATGGCCTTTGCATCGTCACCCTCACTCAGTATATGATCGTGTGCGGTATGTACTTGTGGTCGCAAATGCTTCCCAATGGCCGCCAGGAACGTATCAGGAGCCGAGAGGAAGAGGGGGAACGATCGTATGCGGTCCACCAAATCAAGTGGCATGTCCGGAATGGTGGATGCGGTTAATGGAGAGGGTCGAACTGGACGAGCTGGGTTGGTTTCGACATTGAAGGATCTGATCAGAGATAGAGAGTCTGGTATTGGTGCTCCATTGGATCTGTAGGAGCTAGGCCCTCCTCGGCTTCGTCTCATGGTGGGCTTATGTAGCTAGGTAGAGCGGAGGCCTTGTGCAAATATCTCGACCGACTCCCCAAACTTGTATATCTCCCACGGCCTGCCGGCCGGTGTGCCGTTGGCCTTTTCCCAAGCGTAAGGCCAGATTTGAGAGAGGATTTGGAGTGAGGGTTGTGAAGGGTTTCTCGTTGGCGCTAGATGTAGGCGAGCACGAGGGCGAATGTAAGGGTCTCTCTGCCACAGCACAGAGGAACCAATGTTGGTATTCGAGCTCTGAATGGTAAAGGTACAGTTGGGAAGGATAATCGACAGGTTGCAGTTGCAGCTGGAGAATTTCTTTGTCCGTTGTTTTCTAACGCGCTGGGGGACGTGCGACGTGTCTGGAGATATGCTGTTAGTGGGAGTTACTCAGTGAAGGCGTGGGGAAATTTAGAGGCACATCACGAGCTGCGCGTCAGCGTCGGCTCCTACCGCAGTACGTACAATTATAGCTGAAGGTGCAGGAGGAGTCACTTGGGTGATTTTTGAGGGTATTGATAGCTGTGGGTGGTGGTTGAGGTCGGAATTGGTAGCGATTCACTGTGTTGATTGAAGCAGTCGAAGCACTAGTGGGTCGCAGTCGCCTCGGTGGAGTTTACTGGTACGGGTACTTTGTAGAGTCTACGGTTACTGGAGGGCATGGGCGGCGGAGTGATCATAGCCCCGACCGCCTACGATTGCCGGGCTGGTCTGGCACGGATCGCAGAATTTAGGGTCCTGGAGGGGTCCGAAACCTCCAAAGTTGCGCTATGACGGACTTTTAGCGATATTGATATTCCGGCATGGGCAAGGAGGAAGACCGCAATTGGGAACTCTGAATTGAGAGAGGCAGTTAGAGCACGCTGCCAGTTACGGTTGGGGTTCGGGTGCTCAGTACCAATGGAAGAACCATTTACTGGTGTTGTGAATCTGTCTAGGTGGCTAAAGATATGAGACCCATTGACCAGGACAAATGCTGGGGAAACTGTGATCAATCACCAATTCAAAAGCTGAAGCTGGAATAGGAATGCGCAGGCGAGAAAAAGGGGAGAAGCGAAGGTTGACGACCACCGCGCGCGCGTGCTGTCCAGCGCGGTCGTACCCTTCGGGGTTACTCCTGGCTTTTTTTAACGGAGAAAGAGTGATCCCAAAAGCTTCAATACAAAGTGGGTGTGGATGTGGCCAGCGCATGCGACTACAACTGCACCTCTTACCACCAACTTCTCACCGTCTCAAGCGCGAATACAAGGGCTGGTGCCCCTATTCCCACCGTCGAACTTAGGCTACTTCTAGAAGTAGGAGAACTTCTATTTAGGGCTCGGAAAGCTAACCGCCATGCGCAGGAGCAGGAGCAGGAGCAGGCAGGGCATGTCCGTCATCGTGGGGAGAGCGCGGCACGGGAGAGCCAGGCCAGGACCAGACGGTGAGGGTAGAAACACGCGCTTCCCCTTCTCAGCCCCCCGTTTTATGTCTCTGCAATGAAAAGATATGATGACAGAGATTTCTCTCTCACCGTCTCTCGTTGCTGTTCCAATGACAATCCGATTTTTTCTTCTTCTTTTTTGCGTCTAGTTTCAGCTGGTCCTGGTGTGACGGAAAGGAGAAGTTCATGTAAGCGCTGCATGCTGAGTACCCTCCCTTACCATCACACAGCAAAGCACAACATCCATACCGGTACATCTACAGTACATCTCCATCGCTTCGCTTCGGCAGAGGAGATTAGACGTTGGATGCGGGGGGTTACATCCACGATAGACTTCTTCCACAACACTTCCAGAACACCGACGTTACGAGTAAGGGTACTCCGTACTTACGGTATCCCGGCCCGGGTTTCGGTTTGGGCGGCGGGATGGTCGTGGGAAGCAAAAAAGAAGCATGTCAACACCCAACCTACTCGGTACTCGCAGAGCTTCTAGAAGGGCACATCACATCTGCCGTCGAAGAAAAGAAAACCCCGTTACCCGTTAGGTTAGGGGTCGTCGACGAACGGGACGAACGTCGATCCCCATCGGCTGAGGCCGCGATGCAATTGTGGGGATGCGATGCCAATACTCTCCTCCGTACCGAATTTAAAAAAAGAAATGGGGGGTACGGTGTTGTAAGTACCGGTAGCTATATCCCTACCTACCTCCTCCTCCCCCTTCACCAACCACCTTTACGGTGGGGTCCGGGGGAGATTTATTTTGAGCTGCGGAGTCGTTGGGGCTGTGTACTGATAGGGTACTCCGTACTTACATTTATATGAAGCAGTCCAGTTTCGAGTTGTGTCTTCAAACTGCTGGACTGCAGGAGGGAGGTGGTTGTGTAATTTACGGAGTAGAGGTGTGTTGTAGAGTAAGATATAATATAATTAAAACTCTACTACTAATACCTAAAATAACCTTACTATAAGACACTATAATAAACAAGTATCTTATAGTCACCTTATTACCTAACATAAACAGTCCTCTAATCGCTCTAACACTACTCTCCAACATCTCCATAAACAAAGACACGACAGGAAAAATCTAGCGATCTTCAACAACAGCCGGGCGACAAATCCGACCTATAGTAGCGATCTTCCCACGACTTCCTCGTACCTAATAAGTCGCAATTCACTAGGCTAGAGAACAATCGCCATGTCAAAAGAAAACCTTGTCTGTCCAGTGCTTTAGATATAACCCCCCATACCGTAAGGAGACCAAGTTTGATGACCACATTGCGATTTCACAGTTCACACCGCAGGTCTTGCATCGGATACAACCAGACCGTCGGATTCCAAACAACACTTAATCAACATAATATATCATAACCGCCCATATAAATTCTACCAATCTCCGAATTCAAGATGGGAGAAACATAACTAAGCTAAGTCGTCTTTCTCACAATCAAGCTTTACATATTATAACAACACGTCGGTCCCCAACCAACCGACCAGCTTTTCATTATTCCTTACAGTATGTTCCCTACTGAGTTTGAAAGTAACAGATAGACTCCGATACTTGTGCACAACGCCTCGTTGCACCTTTTTGTGTTGGTAAGTATCCTTTCGCGAGTTTGAAGGAGCATTTCTTCCGTTATACCCAACTTCGAGAATTTGTGAGGCAATGACCACGGAAATGGTAAAATGTTAATATAGTATAGACGGGCTTTGGAATGAAGTAGAGGTCATACCACAGGCAAATCTTTGGTCGGTTGGGCGAAAGTGACGTCCTCGCTTCTGGCAGCGGCTCGACGGCTCCTTCCCTCCAAAAGTTGCGACTGAGAAGGCAGGAACCACCAGCCAATATCCACGCCCGTGATACCTCACAAGTCTCGGTCAACTCTTCTCTCGACTTCAACAAACACCATATCATCCAATATCGCGAAACACGATGGTGCGCAACCCGAGATCCACATCTCAATCCCCTCCTCCCGCAAAGCGGCAGCGCGTCAGACTCTTTGCAGTCGGTGCATCTCTCCTCGAAGACCCAAAGTACGCAGATCTCGAAATAAGATGTCAAGAGAAAGTATACAAGGTGCACCAAAATATTGTCTGCCTGCAAAGTACAGTCCTTGCCCGCTGTGTCGATGGCGGTTTCCTCGTCAGCCGCTTCTTTCCAACAAGCCCTAGATCAGCGGCTAACCTTTGGTAGGAAGCTTCGACGAAGGTGATCAAGTTAGATGACGATATTCCTGGGATTGTGGAGCATTTTGTTCGTTATCTATACACCGGAGACTACGACTACAATGCCAAACACAAAGAAGCAGCAAAGGAGAATCAACCATCGACCGTCAAACCACCAGGAAATGACACGTCATCTGCCAGCAATAATTTGGGAAACGATGCAGAATCCGGGGACAAGGGTGGATCAGTAACGGGAGGGAAAGAAGGCCTGCCTCGAAACACCTCCGCTGAAAGTATTGGCCCTGTGAGAGAAACTGTGAAAATGACCGAACTGTTGGCACATACCCTTGTATATACCATCGCCGATAAGTTTGATGTTCTAAGGCCTCAAAGAGGTTGCAGTTGAAAAGTTCAAGGAGGCTTTGGAGAGGATCCCGAATCCCTCGGATACTTGGACTGAAGTGGTTAGAGCTGTTTATGAAGGCACGCCAGAAAGTGACAGGTAAGTCAACTTGACCAAGATTTTGAAATATGCGCAATCTTCACGTACGGTTTCCTCCAAGATTCTTGAACTGACTTTGGACAACAGAGGACTTAAAGACATCGTAGCACTATTCTCTATCAAGAACTGTCAACAATTGCTAGCGAAGGACGATTTTGTCAAGTTGTGTGAGGAGAAGTGGGAGATTGGTATGGAAATATTGAGAGAGCTGGTGAAAGACCCTAGAGTTGTCAGACAGATGGTCACAGTGCCAGATTGTGAAAGATGCAAAGAAAGCCCGCATGTACGGATTTCGAGTAAAATCGACCAAGAAAAATACAAGGCAAGATTTTACTGCACCAAATGCAGATATAACTTCAATGTCTGAAGATGTTATTAGAAGGAATGTTCTCACTGGGCTATTCTGACGATCAGATCAAAAGTTGCTAGAATATCGAGAATGATAAAATTGTTTTTTGTACGCTCTTTCTCATCTAATTTCAATTGCAAAGGGATGACACTCAAAGTGACCGTGTATATCTTCAAATGAGCTCGTACGGCATCCAGATTGTAATCTTACCGTTATACCAATAACGACATAATCGCATATCGGCAAGTAAAAATCGCAAACCCCATATATTAACTAGTACTTCTACTATGCCTTCACCCCACCTCACTGAGATCAGACGCGTGAAATTGCCACCCTCACCGCCGATTGCTCACTGTCGTATCATCACTGTCGCTTTGGGGTTGTGCCCTAGTATATTGTTTAGGAGATAGAGAGAGGGGGAGGGAAACAGGGCTAGCTATACGTATCATTTATTCCTAGCCCGTATAGTAGTACTACATGTAAGATAGCACGCGGTGGACAGAAAAAGTGGCGGTTCATCCATGGGTCCATGCACAATAAGCGATGACTTTCTATATGCAAATATACCCCCCTAAGTATGCTCAAAAGACACTCCAAATGCCTATATCAATCAGAAGCTCAGGAATCATATTAGAAAGGAAGGAGGGACAACTGAGTATCGAAAACATCTTTACGTAATTGAAAAGTGAGTGCTTTTACTTCATAGTAATTATAACGACTTTCATTAAAAGCTGTGCACGGACCAGGGGGTGTTCCGCCACTTATTCTGTCCACCGCGTGGATAGTGAGGGAAACTCTAGACGCACCCAGGTTAGAATGTAATGCATTGTTCTAAAAGCCTCGTATAAATAAAATCATTGAACGAGCTATTTAGGATAATCCAAATCAATATAGCTTTTTTAATCTAAGTCATTTGGGACATTTAAGTTAATTGTTTTAGGAATTCTAGTGTAAGTGGTTCTTACATAGTTTCGCCTAATTACCTTACCTTCCTAAAGAGGCTAAGCTGGCATACGTGTCGCGCTAACAATTGTTTACTACTCACTAGTCTACATTCTGTCTTTAATTTTCTTTTCTCATGCCTGCTATATAAAATGATTTTTACGATTCGCAATTTTGTCGTGATTGGTCTAACAGGATGCTGTACTAGGTTATTGAGCATGATGGACAACATTTGCATGCTCTGCTTCTTTAACACCCTGGATTTATTGGATACTGCAGCTAACCGAGACCGAGGTAAATTCACTTGTCTTCCCCCGGCCGATGACGTACCGTATTCCTAGGCGATGTGGACGAAAGCAATAACTGAGGTGAATGGACTTTGCCTCCCAATTGAGGCCTCGCCCACCCTGCCAGCCCAAGATTCCAAGATCACTTCCACCTCCAACCTTCTACATTCAACGCCTATCAAAGACTCACAGGATTTACAATGGTCAGTTGATCGCACATACTCTCTTCTTTTCTTAAGATGCTGTGCGTTCCAGCTTTACGCGACTGAAAACTGATGGCAATTAGAGCAAACGACAACCCGACGACCCGACGTCGTCCGCAGCAAAGCGTGGCAAGACAAACAAGGCAAATCTCGTCGCCTCGTAAGTGATATCACCCAGGATCCATCGCTACAACGTCCTTGCTGATGGCATTGGTCCTAGGCTTCTCAACGACCCAGAATACTCCGATCTGGAGATCCATTGCCGCCGTGAGGTATTCAAGGTTCATCGAAACATTGTCTGTCGACAGTCAAAGTTCTTGAAGGCGTGCATCAATGCTACTAGCGGCGGATTCAAGGTATACAGAAGTCGCGGTGGACAGACAAAGTGGAGAAGTGGATAATAAATCAGGACCCAGGCTAACTCTTTAAAGGAAGCCCAGGAAGGAATCATTGATCTGCCGGACGATGAACCTCATGTTGTGGAGCTCCTTGTCCAATTCCTGTATACAGATGATTATGTTTACCAAGCACAATGTCTCCAAAATTCAGAAGATCCTGCTCCGAAAACAGAGGAATCACACGCATCTGTCGAGAAAGTCATAAATGATAAGGTCCAAGAGGAAGCCGCACAACATGCAGAATCGGAGGAGAAGGAGGAGGAAGACGATGAGAAATATTACGAAATCCCCGATCACGAGCTTACAGCCCACACAAAGGTTTACATCATCGCGGATAAGTTCGATATCCCGGACTTGAAGAATTTGGCCAGGGAGAAGTTCCGGGAAGCATTGTCTGAGGACCAACTCGACATCTTCACTTCCGTGTTTAGTTGGGTAAACTACAACACACACGAGAATGATAATGGACTCCGACAGCTCTGTATGGACTTTGCCACTAAAAACTTCAAACTTCTCATGGACAGAGGCGAATGGTTTACATTTTGTGAACAGGATGGAAAGTTCACGGCTGCGCTCCTGAGGCAAATAGCCCATACTTCTAAGGCCCATGTTGTATCGACTGAAAACACAGCTGTTGCTTCATCCACGGCGGGAGCAAGTCTGTCAGTTCCAAATTGTCCCCTATGCAAGTCTGGCTGGGATGTTTCTTTGAGTACTCGAGGACAGCAGGCTAAGCACGGGTTCAAATTCCGGTGCTACAAGTGTCGTCACAATTTCCAAGACTAAAGCTCTCACTGTGAATTTGTGGGTATACGACAAGGTTATTTTCCCCACTAAGTTTGTTGGAGAGGAGGTGAATTTGTATCAGGAAGATATCATGTAAAGTCAGCGGTATGGAAGATCTTGTATACAAGTTTTCGAAGGCTGGATTGATATGCACATATATCACGAATTCTTTTCGTCGCTATGTGAGAGTTGAGAAAATGGATGTGTTGCAGTACGCAATCTGGAAATTGCCGAACTATTCGCTTGTATCTCGATCTCCAATGCATCATTCATCTTTCAGAACCACCTTAATCGTACATTGCGGGGATTGTGGGTGTCACGATACGCTTTTGATACCAGATTTATGCCTCATTTTATCACAGCCGAATGTGCATCAAGGTCCAGACCTTGGAAAAGCAGAGGATAGAATCGAAAACGGACTTTTTGAACCTTCGCTACACTTTTGAAGTTCAAATCGCATTCAAGTATATCACTTGGCAGCAACTTCTTCGAAAAGGCCAGGAGAAAAAGAAATATATATAAAAACTGTAAATTTTTAAAACAGAGGCATATGTTGGCCTGTATGAAGGTATCTCCGAAGAAGGACATCCAAAAACTTTCATAACTATGTAGAGTCAAGATGTCCATCTTCACGACATTTTCCCTGTTCAAGAGAGCGATTTACTTATCACTCACAAGCCACTTTTGTATTCACTTGGAACGCACGTCTTTACCTTATCCTCCCATGTCTAGAAGGGATAAAATAAGCATATACAGTAATTTGATCGGCGATTCATACTAGTGTGATACGAATTATATTCCAGTGTCCCTTCCATGCAAGTGAGGTTTTAGATAAACGGGAACCCGAAGTCGGGGTGATAGGTAGGTGTGAGGGTTCAAAACACAACTTTTTCGAGGAAAAATTTTCTTCGAAATTCATCAATCTCTTTACACCAATCGATAGCAGCTAGAATTTCAACCACTCCCCCCTCCTCCTAGGAGGTCTACTCCTCTGGTAGCAGAGATACATCCCCCAAAAGATCACGTGAAATATTTTCACCCCCCCTTCATAACCTCAATCAACCCTACCACTGCCAACACCGCTACTATGGCAGCCCATGTACAATCAAACTTAGAATGGGAACAAGATATCATAGAAGGAACGGTCTATGAGCCTATGCGACTCGTCAACGAGCCCACGCTCCCCACCAACCCAGTGTACCCAACTATCATACTGGGAACCCCAATCCCCCAATCCCCCAGTACCAACGGACAAGATCACCTCCTAGCACACTACGCACCGTCTAGCCCAATTAATCACATTCAACGCAACCCAAACAACATTTGCTTCACAGACATCAGCACACTAAACAACTCCCAAAGAACCAAAGAAACACAACCCACAGCAAAGAGACAAAGAAGTAACCAATCCCTTAACCTGACCTCTAAGTATGCACTTATGTCTCACCCAGAAACTGCAAACGACGCAATTATAACATCGAGAGCTCTTCTCTGTAAGGCAATTGAGCTTGAAGATGATCAGCCTAAAAAACTTACGCTGATTGACCTACTCAATGTCTTTCGAGA